CAGAGAAGGCCTTCGACAGGTTCAACTGGGACTACATGCAATATGTCCTTCAGGCATTTGGCTTCACACCACACAATCTCAGGCATCATGGCTCTCTACAACAGCCCGACAGCACAAGTTGCCAATGCGGGATTTCTGTCCACACCATTTGACATCACCAACGGCACCAGACAGGGGTGCCCCCTGTCCCCGTTGCTGTTCGTCCTATCTTTAGAACCGTTAGCGCACATCATTAGACACCATCCAAACATTAAAGGCATATCAATAGGTCCCAGCGAATACAAGCTATCCATGTTCGCTGACGACATCCTTTTAACACTAAGGGAAGTCACTACGTCCCTCCCAACCTTGATGCAACTCCTACATACTTATGGTAGAGTGGCATACTATAAACTGAACCAATCCAAGACACAGGCTCTGCCCATCGGCCTCCCACACACTCTGGTCCATGACCTCACACGAACCTATAAGTTCGACTGGAGAGCCGACCACATCACTTATTAAGGGGTTAAGATAGCGCCCACCTCGGAACGAATGTACCACTACAACTATAAACCACTACTCCGCTTGTGTAAAGCGGAATGCCTCAGGTGGAAACCGGTCAAATTGTCATGGTTAGGCAGAATCAACACTATTAAAATGACCCTCCTGCCAAAACTACTGTACGTGTTTCGTCTCCTACATATACAAGCCCCACCCGCCTTCTTTAAACAGCTCCAACGGACTTTGTCCTCATACATATGGGACTCACACAAACCCAGACTATCCCATCGCTTAATGCAGCAGCGCACAGTAGAGGGGGCTGTAGGCCTTCCAGATATCTATACTTATTACAAAGCAGCTAACCTAGAAACTGCAGTGAAACTACATACCCCCAAAGGCACATATCAGTGGGTAGACATGGAGGCTGCGAAATCCACCAAGACACCCCTAGTAGACGTCCTATGGACCCCCAAAACGCTTCGCCCCAAAGACAACATTCTCTTCCCAACCACATTACTTACCCTACACCACTGGGACGTGCTTAGACACACGCAAAACAACACCCACAAATTCCACCCACGAACACCGCTGACAGCCCTACGAGCAATCTCCCCATGGCTCTCACTAAACTCCTGGGTGTCAGGGTACCTGTTGGTGCTGAATCCAGGGAAGACATCCTCTCTGTTTAGGGGCTCCCTGCCCCTAGCATTTTCGGCATATTCCGGCCGTTTTCGCGCCGGCCGCGCTAGCTCCTCCCCCTTTTATGACGCGACGGCTAGCGTCGACGTCATGACGTCGGCATTTGCATAAAGTGCCGGGAACCGCTATTCCGGACCTTTTGGGGGCGTGGTCTCTATTTAGGTACTGGGTATTTAAAGGAAACCTTTACTACTGCTCATTGCCCTGTCGTGGTTCTAGCTTGCTAGTCACTCAGCGCGTTCTTTATCTTGTGTTTCCGGTTTTGACCCTTGCTTGTCTTTTGTCCTGTTGTCCTCTCCTCTCCTTTGACTCGGCTTGTATCTCGCTTACCTGTCCTCCGGCTCCCTCGACCTCGGCTTACCTTTTGACTATTCTGCTTTGTCCCTACGTTAGTCCGGCCATTCTAAGGTCCGGTATACGTACCTCCTTCTGTCCGCACTCTGCGTATTGGATCCCTGTCAGTATCCTGACACTGGGTTAAACTGGGAATTCACAAACTCGACCAAATTATGCACCACAACCTTATCAAGCCTTTCCCAGAACTACAGCGGGAATTTAAACTGACCAACTCCTCAATATTCCCTTACATGCAACTCAAGAGCATCATACCCTCACACGTGGCACGAACCACTACAGAGGTTAACCAGGGTACAAAGGTAGTAGACACACTGTATGATAGATGCTGGCACACCCCAACCAAACCCAAAACTCTTGCCCTCTGCTACCAGGTAGTTACGAAAACGGCTCCATACTACTCCCCTCCCTTCGTGACCCAATGGCTCGCGGACTCCAATGAGCCGATAACTGACACGGAAGTGGCGGCGTCCCGAAATGCCCTCAAAGGTATTACACAGTGCTACTCACACGCAGAGGCCCACAAGAAACTAGTATACAGGTGGTACTTAACGCCCTACAGACTCCACACAATGTACAGCTCTGTATCACCACTCTGCTGGAGAAACAACAGGCACAATGTTCCACATCTGGTGGACATGCCAACGTATACGCCCCTTGTGGGAAGAGGCGCAATCCATCCTATGAACCATTGGCATCACAGCACCACCTTTAGATGCACGCACAGGGTTATTCCTTTCCTACCCGCACTCAACCCCGAAGGCGGTGAAATGCATAATGGCAATTACTGCATTGGCAGTACGAAACCTTATAGCAAACCAGTGGAAGCAGCCTCACTGTCCCTCTAAAACCCACCTACTAACCAAAATCCACCAATACCACACATACGAGAGTATGTTGACCAAAACTGCTTCACAAAGAAAGTCCTTCCAGGAGTCCTGGGCACCATGGGCGAACTACTGGGACATGGTAAACATTACTTAACTACCTAACGTCTTAAAGAGATTAAAGACGGTGTCGGTACCACTGACGGAGCACAAATCCTAGTTGCTTGTACACAGAGCTCTGCAACTTGAATAGATGCAACCCCCCCCCCCCCAGTTACCACAGAGGCCTGTATACTCAGAACAACACACTCAACCACAGGGTAGACCTATCGTTATATCGTAACACGTATTGTAACACATGTCGTTACATGCAGCTGTATATATACTATGTACAGCGCTCAAACGCCACTGCTTAATGCCTCCAGAGCATACCCCTCTCCCCCCTTCCCCCTGTTTCCCCCCCCCAGTTGAACTTCCAACTTCAAACTGAAACGAACTCCACTACATTGGTGTACCCGCCATAGATCGGCTCATGACTCATGAGGTTGTGCAACCACCGAGACACAACAGGTCGTACACAGGGAAAATACTCCCAAGACTCCAGTATACTACTAAACATCAACCATACACATATCAGGGGCAACCGTATCCCCCCTTTATACTTCATGCCGACTGTAATGCAGATATTGACACCTACTAATGCTCCTCTATCAAAGCATGCTTAAAGTGGAGACAAATGTTGTATAATTTGACACCCCCTACTTGCTTCCACTCTTCTTTCTGTACCCCATTACCTTTATGAAAAATAAAAATTGTAAAATTTAAAAAAACATACACAAAAGATCAAGTAAAAGATGGCACTACAATATTATTCTAAATAAATTTAAAAAGATGTAATAAAGTATTGTGCAAAAAAGCAGCACCTTAAGTGCAATAGCCCATAAATACACTTATCAAATACAAAGCAGTGCAAAACCATATAATAATTAAAGTGTATACAAATATAACAAGTGTCACTGTGCAAAAATTTTGTGATGTGCACTCATTTGACAAAGTGTTTTAAAGGACCACTCTAGGCACCCAGACCACTTCAGCTTAATGAAGTGGTCTGGGTGCCAGGTCCAGCTAGGGTTAACCCATTTTTTAATAAACATAGCAGTTTCAGAGAAACTGCTATGTTTATTAATGGGTTAAGCCTTCCCCCAAAGCCTCTAGTGGCTGTCTCATTGACAGCCACTAGAGGCGCTTGCGTGCTTCTCACTGTGATTTTCACAGTGAGAGCACGCCAGCGTCCATAGGAAAGCATTATGAATGCTTTCCTATGTGACCGGCTGAATGCGCGCGCAGCTCTTGCCGCGCGTGCGCATTCAGCCGACGGGGAGGAGAAGAGGAGGATCGGAGAGCTCTCCGCCCAGCGCTGGAAAAAGGTAAGATTTAACCCCTTTCCCCTTTCCAGAGCCGGGCGGGAGGGGGTCCCTGAGGGTGGGGGCACCCTCAGGGCACTATAGTGCCAGGAAAACGAGTATGTTTTCCTGGCACTATAGTGGTCCTTTAAGTGAAAAGATATGTATAAAACACTTACAACAGTGTGTTGTTAGAATTGCAGGCAACTTTGTACCATGCAAGCTAATACTCAAAGATAAAAAAACAGAAAAAGAAATTCTTTATTCTTTGTTCACCTAACATGAAAAAACGTCCCTACTTCACCTCCTTTCTTCGAGTGTCTCCTGTGTAGGGTCTCTGACCATTAAGTTCGCTGCCAGCTGCAGAACCTCAGATCTCTCCAATCAGGGACGTATTAGCCACGTGGCAAACAAGGCATTTGATTGGGCCTCAATTTCCAGGGGGCGGCAAAAAAAAGCCATCCCCAAATGCCCAGGCAAATGTCTTGTTAGCCTGGCGGCTAACTAAAAATCCGGTCTGGCGGCGCTGGTGAGAGAGCACTGATTAGTGAGCTCCCTGCTCAGCTCCCTCGTGCACCGCAGAGTGATGCCGGTTACCTGGAGCCAGAATATGATGTCATATTCCGGTTCCCGGCATCACCCTGCGGCGCGCAAGGGAGCTGAGCAGAGAGCTCACTAATCAGTGTTCCCTCACCAGCGCCGCCTTCCCAGCAACCCCACTGGACCCCAGGGAAAGGGAGACCCCCTCCTCCCCAGCATTCCCAATGGTAAGGAGGCTGGGGGAGTTGAATTTAAAAAAAAGTGAGTGTGTTAATGTGAGTGAGTGTGTTAATGTGAGTGAGTGAGTGAGTGTGTGTGTCTGTTAGTGTGTGTGTGTCTGTTAGTGAGTGTGCGTCTGTTAGTGTCTGTGTGTTTTCGTTTAGTGAGTGTGTGTGTCTATTAGTGAGTGTGTGTGTGTATTAGTGAGTGTGTGTGTCTGTTAGTGAGTGTGTGTGTGTGTGTGTGTCTGTTAGTGTGTGTGTGTGTGTGTGTCAGGGAGTGTGTCTGTTAGGGAGTGTGTTACTATGTGTGTGTCTGTTAGTGAGAGTGTATGCGTGTCTACCTAGGGCAGCACAAAACCAGGATACACCACTGTCTCCAATATCCCACATGGCCTCTTGCGGGAGGCGAGGTTAGCATCCAGACGACGTGACGTGGAAGTGCATGATGCTGCATTTCGTTTTCACGGCTTCCTCAGATCACTTCCTCATCTCCTACCAGTCTGTATGTAAAGTCCGCCCACCTGGGTGGGTTCGTTTTCAAAAACATATTCATTGGACATTAGTAAAACCTTCCTTGCATACATTATTGAGTGTTGGATGGGGAGTGTTAAGTCTCCTCTCAGGTCCATTTATTCAATACATGTTAACACACTGATACTTGTAGTGGCAAATCGCCTAAATAACGTAAAAGGACTATTTTACTTACAAACTGAAAATCTTCAAAGTAATACAAAAACAATGCCAATACACATTATAAAAATATTACTATTTATCAACAAGGTATTTGTATTGAAAAAATATCTCTAATTATACCAATAGTACCATACATAAAACAAGATACATAAAACAAGAAAAAGGAGCGTGTTAGCAAAACGCGTTATCACGCACTTCGTCACATCGTCACGTCGTCCAGATGCTAACCCCACCTCCCGAAAGAGTCTGTGTGGGATATTGGAGAGATCTGAGGTTCTTCAGCAGGTGTTCTATCGAATTTCCCTACTCGTGAAAATCCCCTACCCACGTCACTTCCGGTGATGGGAATCAGCTGGATCCTGTGCTGCACATGCGTGCTAGCACTCCTGCTACTCCTCTACAGCAAGGTCCTGGTAAGTAAAGCTAGTTTTACACTTTCATTATAGTTAGTGCATTCACTAAGCTTAGGACACGGGACATTTAGGGTTAATGTTAGGGTTCAAATTAGGATTAGGGACTTGTTCATATTTAGTGATATATCACATTAGGGGAATATCACTAAATTGTGCTTTTTCACACTTTATTTTAACCCTTACCCCAAGGGTTAGGGTAAGAATAGAGTGTGAGAGAGGTTAGAATCACTTACCTAACCCTAATTTGAACCCTCATTTAACCCTAAATGTCCCGTGTGCCTAAGCTTAGTGAATGCACTAACTATAATGAAAGTGTAAAACTAGCTTTACTTACCTTCCAGGACCTTGTTGTGGAGGAGTAGCAGGAGCGCTAGCATGTATGTGCAGCACAGGATCCAGCTGATTCCCCTCACCGGAAGTGACGAGGGTAGGGGATTTTCACGAGGTAGGGGAATCTGATAGAACACCGGCAGCGAACTTAATGGTCAGGGACCCTACACAGCACACACTCGAAGGAATGAGGTGCAGTACGGACGTTGTTTTATATGTTATGTGAACAAAGAATTTCCATTTTACCTCTGGCTGGCGCCCTCTCCTGCATCATTGACGTGCTGAAAGTTAGAGCAGGCTCATCTGCTCTATATTTGTGAGTGTTTCTTTACTTTTTACACTGCTCTTTTTCTGTGTTTTTTATCTTTCAGTACTAGCTCGGATGGTACTCAATGTTGAAAGTGTTTTATACATATCTTTTCACTTAAAGCACTTTGGCAAAAGAGTGCACATCACTAAATTTATGCACAGTGACACTTTTGTTATATTTATATGCACTTTAATCATACAGTTTTGCACTGTTTTATAAAATTTGTTAAGTCTTAATGACACAGCGCACCTTATTCATTGTTTTATAGCTTGCAATTAGTAGTGGCATTTTCTTAGCACAATGTATAGATTAAATGTTCTGCTTTTTAATTTAAAGCTAACTTGTGAATACAATGACATGAACACTTTAAAAGAATTTCAAAAACTGTAAAAAAAAAAGTCATGCAGGTAAGCAAAAATCATATGAGGTGATTACTAACTCCATGCCACTACATCTTTAAATAACATTCAAGATAAACAGCAACAACAAAAAAATGAATCATAGTAAAGTGTGCACCCTTATATCCAGTAATTATATCAGACAAGTTAGTTTGATTAATTTGTTGTTTTGTTATTTTACTAATAATAGAAAGCAATCACGACCAGGAAATGATCCTCTGTAGGAAATAAGATAATATTTTACTGTTTTTGCTGTTTTTAGGGTTTTTTTTTTACTAAAATAGCATGCAATCATGACCAGGAAATGATCCTCTGTAAGAAATAAGATTTTATGTTGCTGTTCTAGATTTAGCAAAACAGTTTAGCACAATACTCTACTAATAAAAGTATATACTTTAAGGGGGGACATCTGGCCATTTTAGGAGATTGACATTAAAAATATCTATAATGGATCTTCTGCAATATTCTACATTACTTATGTTGATACAGTATCATATACTTACTTTGCCCAGTTCATTGAATTGTGAGAAGAACTCTTCTCTGGTAGATAGTCCCCAGCAAAGCTCACCATCTGCAATCTATAGGAACGTTCATGGCCCCATTTATTTTTTTTGTTGCTGGCAAATTGGACATATCTTGGCATACTGGAATGTAACTCAAATGCTGTCTGGTTCTCATTTTCCAAAACGTTCCTGGTCAGTTTTGTCCGTTGTATTTGCCATTCTGAATTCCATGGAACATTTAAAGGTTCAAATTCCATGTCATGGACCACTATTGAGTTGTTAGTTCCTTAAAACAAAAATGGATATAATAAAATGAGGTAATAAATACATAATTTTAAAAAAAGTACATGAATCAAAAATGAACAACTCAAGATAAAACAAAATCAATTTCTAATATTTTATAAGCACACTATGGTTTTAACAATTTTTGTTTTGGTATAAATTCTTTATTCTTTATTCAAATGGATGCAGGAGTGGACACGTATTCTTTCATCATTTGCAATTATAATGCCCCATGTAGGGCTAAATGTATACAAACCGCACATTGATGGGGTATGTACAAATGGATTTTCTTAGTTCTGATCTTTCAGATCCCAAATCCTTATGTGAATTGACATATTTAAGGATAGCAAAGAGGGAGTTATCTAAACAGCTCCATAATTTGAAATCATTAATACAACAAACGCTTCCTGACCCAACATTTTCCCACAGGCACCCACCTAAAAGGGAACAGGCTCACAAACCCCAGGCACCAGGACAGAATTTCTAGTCCCCATAGTGACTTAGCACCTGTGATTTGTCAAGCCCTGACCATGACTATTCAAAACAAGGAAACAGACTTTTTTGTTTTAAATAAAGACTGCCTTTTAGAAGAAACCTTTTAAAAGAGTAGTGCCTGGATATTTCCTTTTTTTCCATTTGATATCTTCAGGGATTGGCCCTCCCTTTCTGGAGCACCCTGCAGAAAGTATTCCCCCCTTTTTTAATGTGTGCTTTTTACTCTTGTTTTTTTGCAAACAATTTTTTATATTTATGCAGCTTTTACACCTCCTTTCCAAGTGCTTGCGGGTAAAAGGATGACTTCAATGTATAGTGACTCTAAGATGTTATGTGATTTGATTTATACAATATATTTCTTTGTATCTTGATTGTATTATCAAATTACACATTGATACCTGTATTATTACTAATCAGTGTAAAGGTATATTTAATATTATTGACACACAAAGAGAGCTACTGAAGCATTCTGTTTATAGTCCTAGTGGTGCTATTCAAAGCAGAACTTATAATAATGCACTCATGTTGTGGCTGGTTAGGATATTTCCCTAATGAACCCAAAGTCAGAATACATGGGTGACCAGCAGGACAGGACCTAAATTTTTTTAATTTTATTACTAGACCCCATGCATACAAAACCCATTCACACCTCCTGTCACTTTCTCTCCTCCTACTTCTAGCAGCTGGTGATGTCTCTCCCAATCCAGGGCCCTTCACCTTCTCTACACACTAAGACAACCAGAAACCCCACAAACCTCATCACAATACTCTGCCCTTTACCCTCACTTACCAAAATTAATTGTGCACTCTGGAATGCCTGCTCCATCTGCAGTAATTTAAAATCAACAACTATACACAACGTTTTCATCTCAAACTCACTCACACTGCTTGCACTTACAGAGACCTGGCTGTCCCCCTCTGATAGCGCTACTCCTGCCTCTTTATGTTTTGATGGGCTTCAATTCTCTCACACTCCCAGACTCAACTGTAAAGGAGGCGGCGTAGGCATCCTTCTCTCCCCTCAATGTACCTTTCAACCAATCATAACTCCCCCTGCCCTATCCTTTTCTTCTTTTGATGTTCACACTGTCCGCCTATTCAAACCCACTCCTTTAAGAATTGCTATCATCTACCCCGGTTATCCTAGACTATTCATTGAGCACTTTTCTTCCTGGCTTCCCCACTTCCTCTCATCTAGCACTCCTTCCCTTATACTTGGGGATTTCAATATCCCAATCAATAACCCCAATTGCACTGATGCCTCTCGTCTGCTCTGTAACCTACTCCTTTAGCCTTATGCAATGGTCCAATCTAGCAACCCATACAGCAGGAAACACTCTTGATCTTGCCTTCACCAACCTCTGTACTGCCTCTAATCTCTCCAATATTCCTTTTCCTCTATCTGACCACCATCTGCTGACTTTTGACATTGGCATACCTAAGACCCAATTGACACCACCGTCTGAACATCACCCTCACAGAAACCTCCAATGTCTTGACCTAGAGCATTTCTCCACTAATCTCCAAACTCTCCTTTTACCTATCTCAAACCTCACCTGTTCTAGTTCTGCAACCTCCTTCTACAATTCCACCCTCTCCTCTCAACTAGACATCATGGCACCTTGTACATTTAAATGCCGCAGGCCCCCCCAACAACAACCCTGGCACACCAAGCTCACTCGATACCTCCAAAAATGCTCCAGAACTGCTGAACGCTGTTGGAGAAAGTCTCACTGTGCATTTGACTTTCTCCACTATAAATTTATGCTGAGCTCATACAGCTTGGCTCTTTCCTCTGCAAAAGTTAATTACTTCAATACCCTCATAACCACACTCTCCTGCGAACCCAAACGACTATTTCACACATTTAACTCTCTTCTTCGCCCTGCGAAGAAGAGAGTTAAATGAGTGTGTGTGTGTGTGTCTGTGAGTGTGTTCAGGGTGTTGTCTTGGCTTCCAAATTTCCTATATCTCAATCAGACTGAGCACCTGTGGAATGTGCTGGAACAACAAATCCCTGGATGCCCCACCTCGCAACTAGCAGGACTTAACCCCTTAAGGACACAACTTCTGGAATAAAAGGGAATCATGACGGAATAGTTCCGTCATGTGTCCTTAAGAGTCTTTGTCTCTTTCTCCACCTCTCACTAAAATTCTCAATCTCTCTCTCTCCTCTGGTATATTTCCATTGCCCTTCAAACATGCAACTGTAACCCCAATTCTAAAGAAGCCCAATCTTGACCCTAGCTCCCCATCCAACTATTGTCCTATCTCGCTACTTCCTTTTGCATCCAAGATCCTTGAAAAAATTGTGTACCTCCACCTACTAACTTGACCTCCTCAGACTTTGCAATTCACTTCACTGACAAGATCTCTACAATCAGAGAAGAGATCTCTCATCTTTCTTCTTCCCCTTACAATACTTCCCCTAAGTTCACTCCCTCTGCTGTTCTATGTTCATTCGCACCCGCTACATTGGAAGAGGTTTCTGCTCTGCTCCAGTCCTCCTGCCCCACAACCTGCTCCCTAGATCCAATTCCCTCGAATCTCATCGGTACTCTGTCTTTGTCTCTTTCTCCACCTCTCACTAAAATTCTCAATCTCTCTCTCTCCTCTGGTATATTTCCATTGCCCTTCAAACATGCAACTGTAACCCCAATTCTAAAGAAGCCCAATCTTGACCCTAACTCCCCATCCAACTATTGTCCTATCTCGCTACTGCCTTTTGCATCCAAGATCCTTGAAAAAATTGTGTATGCGAGATTGACAGACTTCCTCGAGTCCAACTCTCTGCTAGACCCGCTTCAGTCTGGTTTCCGCGTTAAGCACTCTGTGGAAACGGCACTGACCAAAGTATCCAATGATCTACTCGCTGCAAAATCTCGTGGTCACTACTCTATCCCAATTCTCCTTGACCTGTCTGCGGCTTTTGGCACTGTTGATCATCAACAGCTTCTTCTCATCCTCCGCAATATCGGTCTACAAGATATTACTCTCTCCTGGTGCTCCTCCTACCTCTCCCAGTGCTCTTTCAGTGTTTCTTTCTCTGGCTCTGCTTCTTCTCCCCAACTCTCTCTGTTGGTGTGTCCCAAGGTTCAGTCCTTAGTCCCCTACTGTTCTCCATCTATACTGCCTCCCTTGGTAAACTCATTAGCTCCTTTGGCTTCCAATATCATTTCTATGCAGATGACACGCAAATCTACCTTCCCTCTCCTGATCTCTCCCCGTCCCTCTTGACTAGTGTCTCTGACTGCCTCTCTGCTGTTTCTAACTGGATGGCTGCCCACTTCCTTAAACTAAACTTGACCAAAACTGAAATTCTGGTCCTTCATTTATGCCCTTCTGTGAGGACGATGGGTCAGAATGTACAAGCCGACTGGTTCCCAACAGGCAATGGTACAAGACCGGGGTGTCCCATGCCGCCCTTGTTATATATACTAACAATTGAATCACTAGCTATTGTAATAAGAGATAATTTTAAAATAAAAGGATTCAGGATTGGACAGAATGAATACAAAATAAGTCTATATGCAAACGACATTCTGATAACTATATCAGATCCATTAGGGTTATCAAGGGCTCTGCTAGGATCACTTTATGCTTATATGTCAGTCTCCAATTATATGTTAATAAAGAGAGTTTAGAAGCCTGTCAAAGGGAATTTAATTGTAAATGGGTAAAGGATGAATTAAATTATTTAGGTCTGGGGACCAGGGCCTTGCTGCCAAGCTTTCTGGTCGCATGCAGAGAAACCTGTCTAAGAAACCTGCTTAATGTGAATAAATCAATGTTTTGCCACAGAAAACCTTACAACCTACAAGCTGGGAACATCCTACATATGAATATGCCTTCCTTTGAAGTGTTTTTGCCAAGTGGCAAGCAGCCTGAACCAGAAGTGGTATTGTGGCCTATCTGTGGGTGCGGATGTGGGAGAGGCGGCCGATCTCCCTGCTGATCACTATACTGGAAAAAGTGAACACAATGAAGGTGGAGGTTATCTCGGCATCAGCACTCAAGCTTTATCTACCTGTAGGCTCAACCCCATTACATGATACAGCCAAAATACTGAGCAGCATACAAAATGGAGATGGCTGTGTGCTCCTCTGATCCATGTTGTGGGGAGTTGGAAGTGCTGGGCAAACTGAATAAGACTTTCCAATTGTTTTGGAAGATTCTGGCTGCCCGCATGCAAGTTGCTGCGCCTCCTACACTAGCTACCTATGTAACTCAGGTGCCAAAGCCCGAAATTAGGCAGAAGGTCTGGGCCGCAGCTATTCATCCGGTTCGAAAGAGGCGTCAGTGTTCAGACAGGAAAGTGAGAGTCAAATGTCACCTACCCCCAAGGCAACACTTGCAGAGGTCTGGTGCTGACTTCCAGAGTGGACGGCTGCTGCATGGAGCACCTGGATCTCACAACCAAAAGTTATATCAAGCATCGACTGAGCTAGTGAGCCAGAATGAACTCACAACTCTCACTGCCCATAGCCTACCATCTGCGGGCATCGGCTGAGCGGCCAGATTTTCTGCACAAACCGGCACTGTGCTACTTACCTCATGTTGTTTCTTTTCCTCATTTCTTCCCAGTGGGAAGCTCATCCTCCTGTCAGTATATGCATCTTGAAGTTTTCTCCTACAATCTTCTGCTGACTTGTACTCTTTCCTAAACTTGTCTCTCATATATTATAAAATGTGCTATATACTGACATTTCCCAACAACTTTCCTTCTATGCAATGTTTATACTCTTGTGGAATGCCATTGTCTAGCTATTTGTTATGCGCTATCAAAAATAAAGAATAAAACAAAAAAAATGTATTTAAGTCTTAGTTTCACCTCTGATCCAAATTTAATGAGGGAAATAAATTTCATGAAAGTTCTAAGAGAGACGAATAATTTATTTAAACAATGGAAAAACTTACCTCTGTCATGGTTAGGCAGGATTAATATATATTCAAATCATATATCCAACCAAAATGGACCTACATTTTTAATCAAATTCTTCTAAGCGTGCCAGATAGCTTGATAAATTTAGTACAGTCTTATACATCCAAATTCATTTGGGCATGGAAAAAAAAAAATCGAGACTGAATAATAAAATCCTTGCGTTGAATATAAAAAAAGGTGGACTAGGACTACTAACTATAAGACAGATATATAAGGCCAACTCACTATACCATATGTCATAATTAAAATAATATTCAAGAGGCATGGTACAAAATAGAATGTGAAATAAGTAAAAAGAAAAATGTATTGCTGATAATATGGAGCAATATTTCACGGGGGTTGTCTATTACAAAAAGTACACTGAATATTGTTTTAAACAATCTATTAACATTGTGGCATGAATTAAAATCCAAATTAGGATTAATAACAGTTTGAAATAGAAACAATAACATATAGTTTGAAAGATATAACATTAAAAATCTGGACAGAGGCAGGTATTGATAAAATGGGAAAATTATTACAAGAGTCAAATATAAAATCATTTGCTACACTAGTTGAAGAATTTAAATTACAAAATAAAGAAATCTTCATTTATCTGCGTGTTAAAAATTATCTTGATGATTCATTATGTAAGGAACAAGATAACCTAATGCTGAAAATTGAATACTTATTTAAAGGGCAAAATATAAATAAGGCATTATCTATCTGTAATAATATATTAACACAAGCACAAAAAGGTACCAGAGTCCCAGCAATTAAAGCATAGATTATTTAGATGCAGATATTTCCTTAAAAATGTGGTATCATGCCGTGAATATCACTAATCGATATATTCATTGTATAAATCTACAGGAAAATCTATTTAAAGTAATGAACTGCGGGTACCTCGTACCTACAGAATTAAAAGCAATATACCCACAAATGAATGATCTATATTGGAGATGTAATAGATAAAGAAGGGTCGTATCTGCACATCTGGTGGGAATTCCCAGACATTAGAGGATTTTTAAACATTTCATTTAAGTTTCTCATAGATAGGAGAGAGATACAGGTGAATATTATACCAAAATTGGCATTGTTACATATAATGAATAAAAATTTAACCGAGAAACATCTGGTCTTAATAATACATGTCTTGTCGGCCACAAAGATATTAATAGCCAGGAAATGGAAACAGACGATAAAGCCTAATATACAAGAACTTATAAATCAAGTTAAATTTCAGATGAAGATGGAAAAATGCTATAATTGGCTCAGCGCAAAGGCAAGTAAGAAAAGGCAAGTAAGGCACTATATAAATATTGGCTAGACCAGATAGGTAGAAATGAAATAGGAGTGGTTTATGACTTAACCTTGGATGGAAAGAGGTAGGGACAAAGTGAAGGCCCTCATGCCATGTTAATAAGCCCTGAGCAAGATGTTTGTTAGGTGTTGTCAAATGTATTTAATAAAATGTGAAGTATATATTATACATTGTATTTTGATACTTTTCTAATAAAAAAAAAAAAAACATTAACTTCCATAAAAATATATATATATATATATATATATATAAAAACAAACAAACAGTATAGCTTATGGGAGCACATAAGCGGGCGTTCTTTATCATCTTATAGTAGAAAAGAGAAATTATTTTAATTATCCTGTTATCCAGTTTTATCATAGGTAAGGACTGTTATAATCTCTTCATATTTTTTTTTTATTTAGTAAATTTAGCCGATATTGAATGAAACATTAAATTCTATTTTTATTTTATTTTTGTCAATCATAATTTTTTATTGAGGCTGCATGCAATACAATACAGAAGAGAAGAATCTGAGATATAACAGAGATACAGTTGAGCAGTAGGTATACATGACTAGGTATGCTCCTGAATAAACTGCCTCTGTTATAATAGTAGAAAACAAGCTATGCAATCATGTCTATCTAAACTTAAGATAAAACAGAACTTTGAGATTAATTTTTTATAACCTAGATCTGTAGTGATGCGATGGAGAGAAAAAAAACATTTAAACATGCATTACTTTTATGAGTAAAAGAATGGGCCTTGTGCGTATGGGTATAGGAAACTGAGAATTGGTCACTGTTTGCTTGCCATGTTTAGAATGCCACTATGGCTCAGAACCAATATATGGGTGGTTAAATTTCTGTCTTCCCAAGTCATGTGAGGCTATTTTGATGTTGACAGATTAGATTCTGTTGAAAACGGTATTGGTGTTAAGAGTATGATTAAAAAGTTATCCTGCATTTTTAAAAAGCTCACCTTACATGTTTGTAATTGGCATTAAAATAATGAAAGCGCCAACATGAAGACTTGTACGTTATATATTTTTACTAATCAACTTTGAGTAAAATACCATCTGTTTAAAACTTTATAATAATTTTTTATGATGTTTAAGCAATGAAATAAGGTTGTAACATTTTTAAAGGATTTACATATATCATGTTCTGTTGTTCTGGTATTTTAGCCCTAGCCCATCTGGCTTTAGAGACTAATCCCTTATCGAAAATTGCTTAATTGTTCTAGTGAACAGGAATTATCTTGCTGGAAATGTTTTTCAAGGAAATGTTTACCTTAATATTTGTAAAAATATCTTTGTTGTTAAGAGATTCATTATTCCCTTTTCAATCCAATGTGTAATATTCAAATCCTTCATGTTTGTCATCACAGTTTTTATGGGTAAACAACTCATGACCTTATTTTGTAATTTTTTTTTTTTTTTTACTATGCATAATAGTGTTACAGACAAGCTTGAGGTACCCGAATAGCAAACCTCAGGCATTACTTCGTGCATTACATGTGAGGGACTTGAAAGGCATGCACAATTATATAATATAAGCAGGCATAGGTAGACATGTCAGTGGAGTAATATCAGAAAGCATGGAGGTATGCAGGCAATGCAAACTGACATCATGCTGCAATTTGATAATATAATCAAGCCTAAACAAATGGAGATTTGGTATCAGATATTACTGTAGGTGAAAGTTTAGGATCCAGTGATCATCAGTCAGTGTGGTTTAATATAAGAACAGTGACTAAGTCACACCACACAAAAACAAAAGTTTTAGACTTTAGAAAAACAGACTTTTCTAAAATTAGAATATGTGTAGAGGAGTCATTATCAGACTGGAGCAATTTAAATATAGTCCAAGAGAAATGGGATTATTTAAAAGTTATACTATTGAAGGCAACAGAAAATTGCATTAGGCTTGTCAGTAAAAGCAAAAAATTCAAGGGGGCGTGTCCTGACCGCGCATGTGAGCGGACGTGCAGGAACGGTGCTCTCCCGACCCGCGGCAATAAAGCAGCTTCCACAGCGTGAAAAACCCCTAAAAACGAGCGATAACCCCCTGCACCCTCAGGTAAACACCTCCGCCCCTGATGGCCACCAAAAAATTTAAGCAAAAAACCCTTAATCCCCACCTAGAACGGTCACAAACCGCGGAGCTGAAAATCCAAGATGGCGCCGACGGACGGCACTCGCCTGCCCACAGCACTGATACAGGAGACTGCCTGTCAGAGCACAGCAATCCAGCAACAAATGCCTCAATCAGGCTAATTATGCAGGAGCTCCACACCTCATTTAAGGCTGACCTCCTTCAGATGACCGCTGACATCAAGGCAGACATACATAGCATGGGGGAGCGCACCACCCGCCTGGAAGACAGGGCAGACGAGCTGGTGGAGGCACATAACACAATAACAGAGGCCTACACAGACTTAGAACGCAAACTTAAATCCTTGGAAGAAAAGGTGGCCGATCAAGAAGACAGGCGCAGACGGAATAAAATCCGTATAAGGGGTATACCAGAGACCATTTCACAACAAGATTTATCTAGGTACGTCAAAGACCTGTTTAAAACCCTGATCCCCTCTCTGTCTGAATTCGACTTGATCCTGGACAGGACCCACAGACTTCCGAAACCCAAACATCTCCCACCAGACACTGCGAGAGACACGATCACGAGAGTACAGCATTTCACTGTCAAGGACAGAATTATGCAGACTTCCAGAACCATGACCAAATGGCCAGAATTATATAAAGATATCAAGCTGTTCACTGATCTCTCCTCGGCGACCATGCTCAAACGCCGAGCTTTCGCACCGATCACAGAAGCACTGAGAAATGCAGATATCCCCTACAAGTGGGGCTTTCCTACGAAGCTACTAATTAAAAGAAATGGCGTGGACAAGCCCATCATGACTCCGGAAGACGGCAAAAAGGCGCTTCAGGAATGGAATATACCCTTCCTACCTACTAGCCCCAGGAAGAAACAAACAACGGCCCATGCACCAAAGGCGCTGTCCAAAGACTGGTCACGAATCCACAGGGCCCCCCAGGCACGCATGGACTCGAACAAGTCACCGACCTGAACGATCCGGGCCCAGAGCCGCACCACGCCTTCCAATGAATGAACTGAACGTACAGGTTTATACTGTTCTGTTGTATGTTATATTGCAAGTTTACCTAAGATACCCAATAAGGGTTTAACCAAAGGCCACAGGCCTAGCCGCAACGGGTGAGCAATACCCGACAGCACTACACTCGCAGTGGCGTCGCTAGGGGGGGGCCAGAGGGGGCCATGGCCCCCCCTACATCATGCTGTGCCCCCCCTTGGGCCCCCCCAAATGCCAGCAACTTGCTGGCCATGGGCTTCCCTCGGACTGTAACAGCCTGTTACAGCCCGAGGGAATGCAGTGCTGAGGTGCTGGGGGCTGTCTGTGGCCGGAGGGAGCACTGATTGGCTCCCCGGCACAGGCCCCGCCCCCAAACGAAGCCCCGCCTCCCGCAGATAAGCCCCGCCCCCGCCGTTATGCAGCAGCCCATGCTGCTTCAGAAGATGGCTGCCTGACCCCCAGTGACAGGTAGGCTGGGGGGGGGGTTCACACCCCACACACATGCCCCCCATACACACACTGCCCCCTGCCCCATACACACACTGCCCCCATACTGCCCCCCCATACACACACATTGCCCCCCATACTGCCCCATACACACACATTGCCCCCCACACACTGCCCCCC